GACTATAGTCAACCAGTTCTTCAGGGCTCAATTCAGGAAAGCACTCAAGCACAATCTTGAATCCTTTCCTATTCAGATAAGCAGTTACACGCATGTTTAAGTTTATGGAACTCATGTAGGTCTTGAAGTACTGACCATAGCACAAAGATTCTTTTGAATTAGGCCCATAGTAATCATTAGCTACAGAGATCCAATAGACAACAGTTTCCAAAAGACAACTTTTGTAGGCCTAATGGATATGCTTGAACAACAACACTTCATAGGTGTAAGAGCCACTTTAGAAATGATTTGTTAGAAGTTTTCAAAGGTTGGGAGGATTTTCACTTTTTCGTGTATGCCATCTAGCTGAAAGTAGCAAATGATTTGTTGGATGGTTGATTAGAGCTTCAGGTAATAAGATATCCAGTTGGAATCAATTATGTATTGACTAACCTGCAGTAGCATTAAATATATACTTTTACATTAAGCACCATTGCAAGATGGTGACTTTGTCCCCATGTACACACATGCTTTTAGAAGTTCTATTTTGTGGATTTGCTTTCAAGAGGACTACTGAAAGTGATCCTTCTGATTCATATGGCCATAGCAGAAGTTGCTTAGAATTTAAAAGAAGTAAAGTTTATAAAAAAGTCAATCAGTAGGTTACATACCACCATAGAATGTGCTGGATATAAGACACATTCCCAAACCATTTTCATTTTATACTTTATATGACTGTGGTAGCTTAGGGGGAGGGAGGGGGTTTCCCGAAGGAGGATCTTTACAACAGCAATATCACATTGGTAAACAGAGATGTGCAGATACATGGGAGTACTTGTATAAAGATGGAACATCAAATACAGGGAGCTGAAGTCTGTGCTGGCTGCACCTTTGCATTGTAAACATATAAAACTTTGTGATCTATTTCTGGGAAAATCATGCTGAACTGACTCCTGATGCAATGCTTATAACAATTTTAGTTAGGTCAAGATTGAACACCCATGATCTTACGGGTTTATATATGTATATACAACATATACAGAATATTAGAATCATATATTAAGTGTCTCAATCAAACCTCAAAAATGGAAGTTATCTAAACCCCATATGTCACGGTGCTGAGACGCAACAAATTCACTCACATTAGTGTTATCTGGATTTACACTGATATAAATGTGGAGTAGACACAGAATGTACAGTCTTAACAGTGGTGTAAGTATTTCCACTCTGAGGCAGTTACCCCTCAAAAAGTCAAGACTAACTTAGATTACACCAGTGTATGGGGTGTATGATTTCATCTCAGGACTCCCCTGTCACATTGTTGCGAGGCTCTGAAATAGTGCCTACTACAGGCAGCTACCCTGGGAGAGCTAGTGTCTGTCCTCTCCAAACATCTGTGTAAATTCAAAACTTTGTAAGATAGACTGTTATTAATATGCATCTGTACCCTAGACCCATTGCAAACAATTTTATACTTTAAGAGATTGATTCACCATTTTATATTTCCTAGCTTCATGGTGTAACTCCAGTGATTTCAGTTCAGTCACACCAGCATAAAACTGGAACAATACAATGGCCAGCCATATCCTACATACTTTCTAATCAGGGCCTTCAGGAGACAAGACAAATCAACATCTGTTATGAAATTTAATATCTAGGCATGGAACAGTCATTTAAGGACAGAGTGGAAAATTTTACTCTGATTTTCCATTAGTTTTCATTCTTGTGCCAAATCCTTTACTTGTTTAACACAGTTTATAAAATTCATGGCTGCTACACTTAATCTCAATTATTGTTTTTAAACAGTCTAATAAATAACTCCCCATAACCATCCCAAGAGAGAAATGTGTTTTACACCCCAAATTAAATTAACACTTAACTCTACTTAACCAAATCTTGCTTCATTGGCAAATACACTAAAAATTGTTTTCTGACTTGCTGTTTAACATCTAATGGAACTACTTTTCCATTAATGCAAGGGGAATTTATGGACTGGTGGAAAATGGTAAATATAAATTTGGCTTGTTAACAGAGCAGATCCACTTAAAGTCATATTTTGTCTACACTTGACTTGTCAAATGTACTTCTCTTATGTTAGTAAAACCCCCAAGACAGCACATTGTTTTAACATTTATATCACAAACCCACTTGAAATCAAAATGAAATATTTGGCTAGGTAAATATAAAACCTATAACTTGTGCCCTTTCTGAGAAATGGTTAGGTCTTCTGTGGAGAACAATATGACCAAAATAATTCCCAAACTTTTTGAGTCAGTGCTGAAGATAAATAACTTTATTAAATATTGTACTCATCACCACTGGAAAAAACAGTGGCTAAGTACAGATAATGCAAAAATTCAAGGCTGAACTGATCTTATCTATGGGGGTTTCTCTAAACTGTATAGATTGGATTGGGAGCAAACAGAACATACGTTCAACCTTTGGTGGGGGGAGGTAGGCAGATGACTGCACTTGCAAAAGCCAGAAGGCAGGGGGCGCTCCCTCACACCTCCCAGCCTGCCGGACATTGCTGTGGGCAGCCAAACCCAGCCAAGCAGAGGCCATCCCTCGTTGGTCAGCACCCCCCTCCACCCCCAACACCCTCCTATCAGTTGCAGGGAGCGGGGGAGCCAGCACAGAATCTCTGCCCAGGAAAGGGGGGTGGGAAAGCAGCGGCCTCTGGCTGCACATACCCAGCCCCCCCAGACCCAGCCAGAACATCTGGCTTCCCCCGTTTTAACTCCTGCCCAGCTGGCCTAGCTAGGCTGCACAGCCCCACCACCCTGCCACTCAGAGGCAGTGACTTGCAGGGGAATGTGGCTGTGCAGCCTGGTCTGGCTGACCAGCGAAGCTGGGCAGGGGCAGCAGTAGGGGAAATGCCCCCATCACATGCCCCCTCCCCCAAGCTGTGCAGCTCCTAGTTCTGGAGGCCCAGGGTAGGGAGCTCTGTTTTCCTCCACTGCTCAGAGGGAGTGATTCACAGGGTGACGGGGCTGTGCAGCCAGGCCTGGCATGTCAGCCCAGCCATGCAGGGTCAGCACCGGGGGGAAATACCCTGCCATGAGCCCTCCCCATTTGTGCAGACCCCAGCTGGAGGCAGATCCATTCTCCCACTTCCCACCCCCCTTACAGCCCCACCCAGCTGACAGGCGCAGGCAGGAGCAGGGCTGGGGAGCAGAGGTTTTGCTGCCTCTGCTCTGTGACAGCCCAGAGGCAGGGCCAGCCTAGCTCAGCCACAGCAGATGAGCGTAGCCAGGAAACAACTTGCCCACCCTGTGAGGTGGGGGTTAGCAGGGGCTGCGATGGTACCTGAGATGGGTCTGGAGGGAATCTGGAATAGAACTTCGATTGACTGATCTAACCTAAACTGATTAAATCTGATACTACATCCATCCAGGTCTATCTTAAACTGAGTTCTGCCATTTTGAAACCAGTCTATGTAAACTGAACTTCTATTGGAGGTTTAGACCAGTTTCTGATCACTTATACTGGTTTGTGTGTCATTTCTGTACCTAGCCAGTGTCATTTATACTGAGTCACTGGTTTTATTGTAATTTGCCTCATGGGAAAATTCATGTTTCATCTAACATAACTACAAGCAACAGAATCCTTTGGTTCAGCTAAAAATAAAGAGTTATTAGAAAACATATTCTTCAAAGCTGAAGATGTGGCTACAATTTACAACCAAGATTCTGCAATTAGTTCAACTAGCACAGACCGCTGTGGGAGTCCTATTGAAATCAGGTACACATCACACATATGCAAAGTGATATGGGAATGGATCAGATTCCCAATAGGGCCTAAATACTGCAGGTGCATTTACCCTATAAAATTAGTGCTCTGTGCTCGTAATAGAATATGCTTCACTGACTAGTTCTTTCTAATTATAAATCACATTAAACCGTACACAGTACAACAATTAAATACCTAGGACTTTATTTAGAAGTCCTGCCAGCCTCTAGAAAGCAGAAGTAGCACATGAAAGAAATATGTATCGCTGGGTCCAATTATAGAAACCTTTACTTGTATAAATAGTCCCACTGAGCATCACTCCTCATTGTACTGTTCCTTGTGCAGCCATTTGCACCTGTGCAAAATGAACATAAAGCACTACCAGATAGGAATGCTTGTGCAGTCATTTACACCTGTGCCGAGAGGGTATAAAACATATAATTCTCATCTAGTAGCACTCTACATTCTTTTTGTGCAGGTATATATAGCTAGACTAGGCAATGGTACAGCAGAATCAGACCCAGTGACTTCAGTACAACTGAAGGCTGGGGCAAAAAGGCACAATTCACAAGCAAAAACATAAGTCATAATTTTCTTTCCTCCCCTGAATCTTAAGCTAACAATCTGGTGAGGTTATATTTAAGCAGATTTTATTATGACAAATACATGTTAGGCTAAAGATTACAGGTGCAGAATCACTCAGCAATTAATTTGGTGGTGTATTATTTATGTATGATATGGCTTTTTCATTTAATTTCATAGAATACAGCCATATGTTTTTAAAATAGAAAGAATATTCCTTTCAGACTAATACAGGAAAAAAATAAAAGACAGTCCAGAAACAATAAAAGCACCATTAAAAATGCTTCAGACTATCTTCTTGTTGAAATTTATGTTAAATTAATTTGGATTTTTGTTGGTACTGAATTTAACATAAAACACAGTTGCCATAATCTAACTATATTCAATCTAAATGTTCTAGATACACCTGTAACTATAGGTCATCTATCTTTCATTATAATAATACAGTTACAAATATCATAAGTGGTAAAACATATGTTTGCAATTTAAAATATAACACAGCACAAAGAAAATGTCAATATGGTCTTATTAAGGTTTATTTCACTTTAGAACAATATTAATTCTCAAATAGGAAAGTCTTCAAAACAACAATAAAAGACTGCCAGGAAGCATTACTCTTTTGTGTAAATAAAAATAAAGCCTGTCCTAAAAGAACTCTTTCTATCTTCTTTTTAGCTATAAGGAATTGTAAAGTGGTAAGAGCTTACATCTTGCAAATGAGATTCTTTTTTCTTTGCTGATAAATTTAAGTGCTTCTCTAGGATGGAATAATATTTCTCGCTTTCCTTGTCAAACTTCTTCTTTCCATCCTGAAAAACAAAACATTGCAAAGTAAAGAATTTGACAGAGCTCCAAAACCAATAAAAAGGAAAAGCTGGCAAATTTCTTGAAAGGCTATCTATCTGGAAAGCTAATTTTCTTTTATGGTCAAAGAATCAACTCTGAATGGGACCTTAGAGATCTAGGTGGTATATGCACAAAGCATCTATATGTCTTTGATGGGACTACTCATTTATAGATGCATCGGGCTGAACTAGGGCCTAAACTGGCATTACTTTCAGCCCTATAGTCATGCATGTCTTACATCATTCCCACCTTCCAGAAAGAGCCCAGGAGTGTGTGTT